GAACGGAATCACTTGCAAAGCAAAAATCTTGGTTGATCCCGTATCTGAGAGACACATATTTCAACAATGTACGTGTATATATGCACACTTTGCTCGCACACCTGACATCACACCAAACACGCATGTATATATACAGCTTCGCGCCACGAAAAACGCTTTACAGTCCAACCTTACTTTGCCCACTAGAATACGTATACGTATAAGCGTTATATTAAGTTTTCTCTTTTTTTTCTTTTTTTTTCACGAAGCGTCTAGTTTGCAAGTCCGTATCGTATGTTGCCTTTTCCTCTCGCTTTTTTCGACTTGCATTTCTCTTTCACATATGTAGCGGTAGTACATCTGAATCGGATGCGCCGCTTACGACTCGAGGCTAACTTTATTTTGATTGGCTGTTTGAATGACTTTCAAAATGTTCAGAAGAGAAATGAAAGATAATTTCTTTCGAATAGGGACAAATCCACGAGAACATTCATTTACGAGTGTGAGAGTTCTGTTTATAAATTGCGACTAAGTCGCTGGTAAAGAATAAAAGGAATGGTCAGAAATGCGCCATAAAGATCAAGCTTAGAAGGGTTGGGAAATAAAAGGCAGATTAAGTGTTAGCTCTGGCGTGACAGACATACGTGCGTTTATAGAGAGAAAGCCGTTAAAGAAGATAAGAAAAAAGCTCTAGGATACTTTGAACGAATTGGTCACGGGGTTAATCTCTTAAATGATGTTATCGACTGCCAGTTCATCTCGTTATTTTTTATTATTGTAGTAATCATCGTAGTAAAAGTTTTCAGAAGATCTCCTGCAACCTTGTTGTCAAATAAGTATATCATAAGTGTTGGTGTAAAAATGTGTGACATTTTAATTGTATCAATTGTAATAATATACCTAAACGAAACTTTTCGGTGGACATTACGAGTACAAGGTCAAGAATGAGAAATTTGGCATTCAAATTCTTTAAAAGTTGTATTGCATTTTATGCAAAGAACAAATTCTCCCAGAAGTATATACGCAATATGTAATACCACGAGGATTTTTCAGTATGGAGAGAGAAAGAAAGAGAGAGAGAGAGTAAACTGTAAAGCGGGACAAAATGAATCTCAGAAGAGGTCGTATTTTCCGGATCTTAGAGTCTTGGCGAGAGAGCGAACTCGGCCAACACGTTTCGCCGACCCGTGGTGTGGTGCACGTACGTACAACGCCTCCTTCCTTTTTATATCTTTTTCTCTTTTTTCCAACATCCGACAGAAGAAAACTAACGCACTCTGACTATTCGCCTACTGCTATCTTCTTTATCGAGCTTTTATAAGGATCATCAGAATTGCCGTTCGATCGAATTTTCCATTTTTCTACGAGTGCATTCTTGAAAACTGATATTGTCGAGTTGTAATGGATGTATTGTTTTGTAATGATATTTCTATAATAGAGAATAGAAGGTTATGAGTTTTCGTTTGTTTTTGTACTTAAATGGTATTTAAATGGGCTTTTGAAAAATTGACTAAATAATACTAATAGAAAATATAATAAAATATTACATTCACTCAATTAATTTTAATTATACATTAATCTCATTTCTTAGATATTTCCTTCACCAGAAAAAAATTATTTATTTAAGACCCAACCCACAGATAGCTGTCACGGAACCACGAGAGGTAGTAAGCGTTTTTTATCCTTGCAAAAAAAAGTCTTATTTCATTAGATTTCCCGCACGAAACTGTTTTGGACGTTCTTTTTTTGCAAAAGTCAGAAACTAACCTCGAAGTAATTAATTAGTAATTATATAACGTCTTGCGATTGAGAGGGAGAGAGGGGGTGGGGAGAAAGTGCAAGAGTCCACCGACACTTCTTTTGCCAAAGTACGCGCCGCGGCGGCGCGAATACGATAACTTTGCTTTTTGATCTCCCAACTCCAATTTCGACTAATTACGACTCACTTTTCTTGCCTCCTAGTCTGCGTGCGAGAAATCACTGGCTTCCTCTCTGAATTTAATGCTTTTCCCTCAGCGATTTTCATTCATATTGGAAAGTTACACGACTGGAAACTAGTGATTTTACGATCGTTATGTTAAATGGAAAATATGTAGCTACTTGACCATTTTCATTAAAAGCAGACGAATAAACTAAAACTGCTATCGTATAATGTTTACTAACCATGCCTAATAATTTCCATCCATGGCCAAAGTAGCTCCTGGTACAACCATTATAATTCGTCTCAATCAAGTCTTTATTACTTACCTAGCAGCTTATCTCAAGCAAATAACTTCTCAAAATTACGTTGGCGCATGCCGTGAGAGAGAAAGAAAGACACAGAAAACAAGTACTCCGACGCTGCTACGACTCTTATCAGTAGTACATGATTTTTCTCCCGTAAGGTCTCCGCGGCCTTATTAAACGCAAGATGTTCCCGGCAAACAATGCTTAATCACAACGTCTAGCTACATTCGTATAATTATCTGGTTATTTTTCCATCCTCGTCTCTTTATAATTGCGAGCTTTGTGCGTATTTTCTTGTTTACCAGGATGAATATGCCTCGTTATGGGAAAAAATCTTCACTTGGGCTATTTTCGCCGCTGCCTCGTACTATATTTTTGGATTATGAGGCTAATTGAGTTGCTAGCGAATTTTTCACGCACGGAGCGACTTTTGTTGTTTTCGTGTTTTCGTATAATACATGGTGTTTCTTAAAATCAAGTAAAGTTATTCCTTGGCTTTCCGTGCAGAAAAAATATTAACCTTACAAGTGGACGTATCAAAGGTATTGTGATTCTTTTGATCTGCGTGAATTTTACGCGCAACTCATCGTTCACTTCTACAAAATGGTTTGTACATCCATTTGTTTGCGGTAAATGGCCAGCAGCGTGACTATATGATAACGTCACGTTGTGATGGCAAAGGATTTATCTAGGGGATTCGAGCGTCGCGTGGAACAGAGAAGATTTTGGATGATGGGAAAGAAAGAGAGAGAGGGAGAGAGGCAGACGTAGACCAACCGATAGAGGACAGAAGTGAAATGGACGGGTTTGCATGATATCACTGCGAAAGCTAGACTATTTTCCAAGAAAAATGGATTGGAACATCTGAAAACATGTAGAATGAAAAAGAAATCGAGAAATGAAAGAGGCAAAACAAACAAATGGAATGGTTGAATGGGTTTCAATACAAATCCAAACAGTGAAAATGAAAACGAAGATTAAAAAAAGCGCAAACAGTCGATCAACTTTTATTGCACGTCTAAATCTTTAGGTAAACTTTTAGATCTCAAGACAAATACAATTTTTGATGGTTTTTCGAGCTAGGTAAAATTACTATTTTCGAAAGCCAAATTCAAAGAAGAGCGTAAATATAAAAATCAATGACGAACAGACGAATAGAAGAACAAAGAGACAATGGTAAAAAAAAAGAATGAAAAAACAACGAAGAAGAGGAGAGCGTACGCAGAAAGAGAAATAGTCGCTCGTGCGACTGCCAATTGCATGGATTGATCCTCGAACGAGAATCGAATAGCATTCGATCGCGTTTGGCACGATTTTTCCTCGTGGTTGCGGACTGTATCTACTATGTTTGCCCCGCGCGTACTCTTCCTTCGTATACGAATGTGTGCGTGTAGCGGTACGCGCGCGAGAGATGATTTGAGGTATTCCCCCACTTTGCTATAGCATTTTCCAAATCTCCACGAAACGAGATTTTCGCGCCGGCGAGAAAGTTTAGCCTGTGTGTGCAGCGCGAGTGGCAGTCAGATTTTCCAAAAGTTATGTTTACTCCGCACCCCGCACGCAAGCTCGCTGATGTTTGATTTAGCGCTTCCTGCACTTCAGGAGAACAAGCGGTAAATATATTTTAACATTTCATTCGGTTGGTTTTGGTATCTATAATTTTCGAATTTTAATCGAAAAAGTTTATGATGGTATATTGATTATAAATTTTTTATTTTTATCTTACACTATTGTCGTGTTTTAGTCGATGGACAAATTATAAATTTTAACTCTGAAAAGCGAAAAGCTTACACATTGCAAACACAAACCATCCAACAAACCTCTTTTCTTTTTTCCGTTTTAAAAGTCAATCATCTCTCAATAACTACTGGTTGTACGTATGTCTAGACAACATAACTCAAAAATAATGAAAAACATTTCAAGTCGACCAGGTTTCAAAAATAGTCGAAACTTTCTTAATTCTCGAATCAATCAATCACTCGCTGTGAAGGAGTAAAAAAATAGTCGACTACTTTTATCAAAGGTGGACTTGTCTTATTTTTCCTTGGCGTAGTGGCGAAGCCAAGTTGCAGCTCCAAGAAAAAAAAGGAGGATGGCGAAGGTCTCTCATACTTTCTTTTTATTTCTCGTTTCTCTCTCTTTTTTCTTCTTGAAAAACTTGAGAAAGCCATAAGAACAAAGTTGCTCGGTTTCTTTCGCTTTAGGCTGCTCCCTTGTTGCCTTAGCCATACCTCCCTTCCTTATATTTTTCCATCCACTTCCTTCCTTCCTTTTCTCGGGACCTCCTTCAACTTGCATCAAGTTCAAGAGCCTTCGGTCGTTAAAGAATTGCTTATTAATTGCGGCGATTTTACTTTTTCCATTTTCAAAGTCAGTCATGAAATCTATGAATGCTATTACTTTTTTTATGCAAAACTTTTTCCTCGTTAAAGCTATGAGGATTTGCTAACGAAATTTCAAGCGGCAGATGATGTCTAATGAAGTAAAGTGATGCTTAGTACATCAGCAGCTAATTGGTTTGCTCAAACTTTGTTAGAATGTTTAATTTATTTTCGAAACTAAATATGAAGAAGGAAAAGAGTTCAAGGATACATGACAAAATCATTGCAGTGTAATTAGGAGGATGGATAGTAAAGAATCTTTTTGTATTGATACAAGAAAATGTTTTATTAAAAAGAAACAAAATATAGTAATAGAAATATGATTAATTAATTAAATATCCTATTTGATGAAGTATACAAACATTTTAATACAAATATTAGCTTGAATAAATGTATATTTTCTTTTTCGTTCAGGAGCAGTCTGTGAGTTTCCAGCTCAATGGAGAGGCAGCTGGTTTCAATCGGGCGAGAACCTGATCACGATCAATGGCTCGCGCTTTTCGAACAAAGGCCAATGCATTGCCGTCGAAGGAGACATGTATCACATTTATGACCAGTGAGTTGTTTTTCGATCAAACATTTTCATGTTATGCATCTATTTAACGTAGTATTAAGAAATACAGTTGGATGAGTCTAATCTATTTTGTACACTGAATACCTGAGTACTTGTAAAATTAGTTTCATATTTGTTTTTAACTTACATTCTTAACTTTCTTACTTTATTTAACTAAAAAATAAGGTGGGCAAGGAATATAAAAAATTATTTTTTTGACTCACAAACTGTAATAAATTTTATATGAAAAATAAATCGAAAATTGAAAATTGTATTATTAACTAAACACAGTCAATTATTCACTTTTTTAAGAATTGATGATGCAGTATTTTTTAAAGAATGAAAGAAATTCAAATCGAAATAAACCGATCTTTTCATTTTTCTGCTTACGTTTTTTTCAATTCGATTAGGCACAGAAAATTTTATAACAATTAATTTAAAGTTTAATTTTTTATCGATATAAATGAATATATAATAGACATTATTTTAATTACCAGTGCAAAAAAACGGGATCTTTTTATGAATTAACTTGATTAAACAAAATAATGAAGCACGCAAAGTTAATAAGTAATGAAGAAAATCACAAGTCTACTTTTAATCATACAAGGTATTTAATTAGAAAGAAAATTAGGTTAAGACTCTCAGACGCTACGTGAAGCTCTCGTTGGTACTCGACATTCGTCGTCAAGCGCCGTAAAACTAGATGTAGCTTTCACTTTCTTTGATAACAACAAGCAGGAAAAAACTCATGATTCAGAACACAAGATTACTTTCGTAAAATTACGAGTAGCTTTTTTCTGTAACCTACTTTATATATTTCCTGTTTATTTAATACAATTTGCATTGAAAGTAGGTTTTTAAATAGCCATTTACAATTTTTATTATGTGAGAAGTAGCTCTCGTTATTCGTAATTAAATATTGATTGAAATCGATTAAAAATTCGATATTTTGTCAGTATTCTAAAAAATGATTAAGAAATGATCAAATCTATTCAACGTTTCAAGAAAATGAGTAAAAAGTTATAAAACCAATTAACTTTTAATTAATACAATGAAAATTAGAGCGTAATTATAATCGCTAGTTAGTGATCTTTTTCCTTAGCGTGGACGGAAAAATGAAAATTGTTTTCAGCGGAGAAAATAAGGCTCGTGGGATTTTTTGATCTTTATATTATTAGAAAAAATAATGATCAGACAAGATTGAATAAATAGTTAATAGTTTAGTGATATCAATCTAATAACTGGTTGTTGAACTATCAATCCTTAAGGAATGAATTGGAAAAGTTTAGTTGATTAAGTAAATAAAATGTTAAATTTACCTAGCAATAAATAATTACATTTGTCTAGATATATCAACATAGTTTCATTTGATCTAAAAATGATTAAAGTCACTATAACTCATTCAGTCAGTATGAAATAGAGCAGCAAAATACAGCTATCTTGCAGATATAAACTTGTTATTTATACACATCAATCAATTGGCTTAGCTCGATATATTTTCAGTATATGGCTAAGCACGAGTTTTAGACAGCGATTCAAATCACTCTCTAAAACAAATTCAATTGCCATTAGGTGGTTAATCTCGTTTGGTTTTCGTAAACGTTTATTTCATTATCACATCTATTTTCAAAAATAATCCAAGCTGAAAATGCGAACAAAAATCTATCGCTGCTAATTGCTCTCCTATCGGTTTTTTATTGTCCTCTCGTATCCATCAAGACAATACTGTTTGGTAAATCGATAGCCCTGGAGCATCCATCTCTAGCGAATGGAGCGCGAATCTGTTTCTCTGAAAACTATATTTATACTCTTGTCCAGTGGACGCGCATCATTTCCGTTGTCGAACGATTAAAAGCGAGAAAGATAGGAGAAACGAGGGATAGAGAGAGAGAGAGAGAGAAAAATGCTGCCTCGGGGAACGTACAGCTGCATATGGAAATAATATCGAACAAGGACGAAGCTCCCGCGACCGCAGACTCGCGTTTCGCTGATTGGATTCGAATCGCCTGAAAAGGAAGACGAGAGAGAGAGAGAGAGAGAGAGAGAGAGAGAGAGAGAGAGAGAGAGAGTACGATGATAAAAAGGAAAAACTATGCTAGGTGAATCGAGCAAACTGGAAGCGAAAAAAGGGGTTTTTCTGTTGTCTTTCATTTCTTTTATTACAATCGTGCTGTACTATGCAGACTAGAGATCGGAAAGAAAGAAGAGAGTTCTGCGTGCAAATACACTTGTTTATGCGTTCCGTCATTTTTCTGTTTGTTTTTATAAATTCAACCCGCAATTAATACTTAAGTGATTAACATTTTAAGCTATGAAATAAGATAGCCGTCGTTTCTTATATCGCAGGCTGTAGATTCAATGAAGCTGCAATTACTTTTCGAAGAGAGTGTCGTTGAAGCCCTTTTTTATTTTTTCTTTGAATTTTCTTTTTCCTCATTACTCTTTTTCCCTCTGTCTTCGTTCTTAAGACGTCGAAGTCAGCAGAAAGTGCTTAAAAGCCTCCACGTCTCTTTTTAACGTTGGTCCCCCTCCCTCCCCAGCTCGCGTAAAAGTCGGCCCGACTCGCGCGCGTGAACTTGGCGCGCGCACGGACCTTAATTTTCTCTCCCCTCTAAGTCTTCTTTCTGCGACTTATTTTCTTTTTTTGCCCCGACGACGACGATGAGTGCGCAACCAGCAGAAAGGAAATATTACTCATTGAAATTACTACTGTTCTGCTGGATAACTTTTCAAGAAAGTTCAAGAAACATTCCGAGTTTTCAACTTTATTATGGCTTCTTGTCAATTTTTTCAATGGCTATAACTAGACGTTAATTAATTTCAATATTTTGGGATTACAAATATAATTTATTGATTTTTAACTCTATTGTACTTTGTCAAAAATAACATCTTTTTAAGTGAAATTGGTATTACGAATATTTGCTACAAGATCAAAAAAAAAAATGTGTCATATCCGTCAAAATAGTATTAATAGAAATTCAACTCAACTGCAAAAGTGTAACACACCGCGATAAAAATCCCTCCCCATCCTACCTTGACGACTTGTATTTTCAAGCCCAAGAACTTTTCCAATCAATCAAAGAGACGGTCACCTCTCATTGATATCGATCGATATCTTGCGCTCAATCTATCAGAGTCACCTTTCCCTTCGAGTTATCTGACTAATTATTTTTCTCTCGACTTCCAGGATAATTCCTTCCTTCATTCCATCTTCCTTCTTTTTAAGACTCGAATCTGTCTTTTTTTCCTCGATTTTAGCACGCATCTCGAATGAGACGAGCGGATTATCTGTGTGCACCAGGGTTAATCGTTTATCGGGCGAGCATAATAACTAGGCTATCGAATCTTTTGCTTTCATTGTCAGAGATTCCACTTGAATCTTGAATAAGTTTCCGACCCTTCTACTCTTTGTTACCTTAATGGCTTTTATGGAAGGTGATACGATTGCGGATTGGAACGAAGGAAAAGGAAGTTTATCGAACACTTTCGAGCTGGTAATCTTATCCTTTTCACTTAATCAAAAGGCTTAATATTCAATCAGTCGATCTAGATCGAATTGGCATTCATTTATTTATCATGTGTATAACTAATGTTATTGTTGCTTCACTTACATGATTTTACGTTGGATTATCATGTACCGCCTGACTAAGCTCAGTTTGCACTCCTTGAAAATAAAATATACTGTTATCGTGTACCATCTAACTAATTCGATCTATATATACTCTGTAGAGATAAGAAATTCTATTATGCATGATCGAAAAATATAAATTTTGCAAAAAAAAAAAAAATTTACAATTCATATTTTAGTGTCTGTCTCGCAACGTACGAGATTTTATTTTTAAGTTTAACATTTTTTTTATTTGCTACGAAACCGCATTACAACGGACTAAAAGATTATCTAGTAATACATGTGTATTGCAAAAATGGATTTTATTTCATGAGTCAATTCAATACTTCAGGGGATTAATGACTCTCCATGCGTGCTTTTTGTTCTCGCGGCCAACATATAAATTTTTTGAATGCCGTGTAAGAGCATTAAACGTATGAGTGTCAATGCAATAATCGGCTTTATTTTAACTGAAAAAGCTTACGTTCCGAGCATAAAGTTCTTTGTGCGTTTTAAGCTTTAATCGGCATTTTAGTCTTTAGTCTAAAATTTTAAGCAGATTTCTATAAAATTTATATTAATACTTTACGCACGCGTTGCGTATACTATTTTTCCACACAAGCTACGAAAAGTTCGATCTCTGCAAAAAAAGGTTTACAACAATCATTCAATAATGATTCACAGTTGTTATGTATAGAGCGAATTAACGATATAAAACTGCAGTTGAATTTTAGTATTTCTTGTCTATATTGAGCTCTGCGGTTTGAAAAATAATAATTTTAATCAAAAAAATTTTAGATAAAATTTATTCCTTAATGAAACCATTACTCTACTTGTAAATTCAATAAAACATTATATGATTCCGAAAACGACGTGCTTTTTCCTTCATTTGCAAGTAAAGTAATATTTCTAGAGTAAAGAACAACTTTCTTCTGAAACTTTGTCCGTTAAAATTTATCATTTTTCGAATCGCAGAGCTAAATATGGACAAAAATAATGCTGAAATGCTACGGACCAAGCTGCTTTGCTCAAGTGACAATCTGTGTACTTACGGAAATTGGCTATTTCCACACAGTCTATGGAAAGTTCGAACCTTACACATGCGTTTTTATGCGGAAAGTAGCCTATAGTACCGCGCATTTAATCGGTGTTTGTGAATATTCAGCTGTACCATTTGAAAAATAGTAATATTAGCTCAAACATTTTTCGATGAAAGTTGTTCCTTAATGAATTATTTATAAAAATGTGAGTAAAGATACTACTTTAAACAGATTAGTTGACTTGTAAATTAAAAAAAAATAACCATGAAATTTTCCAAATCAATTCATGTTATATTTAATTGGCAAGTAAAGTTATGATCGGTTCGCTCGAGCCCGAAAGCCATACGAGACAAGTA